TCTCCCCGTGATCAGGTGGATTTTTCTCCGGGTCCTTCGGTGTTTTCCTCCACATTTAGAATCAACATCACGCGTTCAGAGTATTTGGCTGCTATAAATATCCACGTGATAAGCCACTTCATTGAGCTTTCATTTGTGGCCAGGTCGCTTCTAAAAAAAGAGCTATATCGCTCAGTGGGCCTTACCTGGTAGCAGGGATCTCAAGCTGAAATTAATTGTTACCTCCAATATTGAGTACGGCTGTAAACGTTACAAACGAGAAGCAGCCAAAGACTGAATTGATCTTACGCTGCAATGATGATGAGGGGTGAGCAGCTAAACCACGTACCCCTAACCCTTATACAATATTTAAGCTACTCGGATGAGCCTTATCACTGACCCTAACAATCACCAACTAGCCAACCAGCCACTAGTTTTCACCCTCTAACTGACTCTAACCAAGCAGCGACTAGTACTAGGCCCTTTCACTTAACAGAATCTTACCTTTAACCCCGCCTCTGGCACAGTCCCCCCCCCCATCCTGTTCATTGCTTGTTTACTTTTCAGTTTTAGTGTTCTGGGGTGCCACGTCCCTTGTGTACCTGGTTTTTTTTGTACGTCTGTCCGTCATTCCCCCTGCGTGTGTGCGTGTGTTCTCGCCTGCCTCTAATTATTGGTTCGATATGGGGAGTTCTGCGTCTGGAGACTTTGTCCCTTTCGATTCGTTGCTCATCTTTAGTGTAAGCAGTGAAGCTTGGAGAATAAAAAAAAAACAACCAACCGCAATAGCAAGCACTCAATAACCAGAGCATCCATTTACCTCCTACGAATAGGAACGTTTATGTCAGTTTTTGCCGCAAAATGGCTGAAGAAGCTATGGTTACAGTCTTTCACATTCTTGGCTATGGTCAGCATCAGTGGCAAGTAATATTGAAACTGGTACTTCCCTCCCCACGTTCACCAAGCAGCACTGAACAGCGTGGTGAAGTATGGTGGGAAAAAAAACTGACGTTCCCGACATGGCATACAGAGGCCTTAATACTGGTAGGAAACGTAGTGGACTGGAAGCCCAACCGGGATTAATTCACAGGAGGCAGGGGATTAATTGTGTATGTCTGTGGATGTCTGTCCACGTGGGAGGGGTTGGGCTGGGTGGAGACGGGAGGGTAGGGAGGGGCTGGGTGAGGAGGGGAGGATGGGGAGGGGCTGGATGGGGAGGGTGGGGCTGGATGGGGGGTGGGAGGGGTGGGGCTGGGTGGGGAGGGGCCACCCCGTGGTGCCCTTATAAAACTCAACGTTTAACCTACTCACACCGGCTTGTGCCCGCCCTCACAGTCGGGCATATTTGCGGAATACACCACGTGGTGCCGCCGTTGACCCTGGCCATTGACCGAGCAGCCCAACGTTCCTACCAGCTCCCTCTGGAGGAATGTGTTCCATTGGAAGATGGAGTTTGTGGAATAATTATTTTTATTTATTTTGACCATACATTGTTTATAAATACTGATCCTGGCTGCAAGTGCCCCAATTTGGTACCGTGTATCACACGCCATGAGAATTTACACTTTTTGTTTGTCCCAAAGAAATTTACCAAAAAAAATCAACACATTTTCAGCACAAAACAACTAATTCAAAGTGACTTCATTATTCTGTCACTCTCTCCACATGATTATATTTGTCTGGACATTTGTCACAGTGAAGGATTCTCATTTATGCATTGTAAGCGTAGGGTTGTATTTTAGTTCACGTGTCTGTAACAGCCGTCAATAGAAGCCATCTTTCTCAGATGATGATGTTGTTGCCTGTCTTTGGCTCATCATGCACAAGCACTTAGCCATCAATTGTCAAAGTATTAGTCCATTAGTGCATAGTCCACTGACAGAGTACAAGACCTAATGCACGCACGAGCCAGTTTCCACAGTGGAATATTACTTACATGTTTGGGCGGTGTTTTTTTTTTGCTATAAAATATAAAATGGGAAACTATGATCAAGCATAGTGGTTAACTTAAGTCGTTCATATGTTGGGAAATCAATTGGACTGTTTGCATCACAAAAATATTTTAAATACATATTCTACATGAAATATTAATTGATGCTCATGCTGTGAAAACCATCATCATCAGTCGTTGGTCCTGTCCCAGAGCATAGCGGTCCCCAGAAGACAAATGATAGCTCAACGAAGTGCCCTATCATATTGAAATTTACAGCAGCCAAATACTGTAAATCTATGTTTCTAAATGTGGAGGGGAAAAACGGAAGACCCGGAGAAAAATCCACGCGACCACGAGGAGAGAACATGCAAACTCCAACTGTAGATGCATCAGGGTCGGGATTGAACCCACGACCTCCTGCATACCGGGCGAGGCGGTTAACATCTCACCACCACGGCGCGAGCCGATCCTGAGCGAGCCTCTGGAGAGCCAGGATGTGTATTGCACCTGGTTTGCAAAGAGTTATGACGTTATGAACAATAAAGGGCTGCTGCAACAAGAGGTTATATATGGGTTTGAGGTGGGTGTCACTCGTGGGTAAGTAGGCGGAGTCAGAGATGCAAAGGAGTCCCGTCGCCGCACGCACGCACGCATTACCGTCCCATGTGCCAACCTGTAATGGTTTGCGCAGGGTAAATGAATTACAAATTGCAGCCAAAATTAAGTGAGCTAATTAGTGAAAAGCAATCACGGGTGATCTGGCACTGGCCAGACAGAGGGGATATGACGCGTAAAGGTAAGAGATGGCATCTGTGGGGTTCGTGTGTGGATTCAACTGAAGGCAGGCTTGAGGGTAAATGAAGACCTCTCAGCACCAGTAGTATAGCTGTCAAGTGTGCAGGCAGGTGCAGCTGCACCGAGATCCGTAGGCCAGATGGCCGCAGAGCTCCGAATGATGGGGTAACTTGGACAGGGGATACCACTTAATCAATTGCGCCAGTTCCCGTGTCAACCGCGCTACGCTGCTGCACAACATCCTCCGTTCAACGTGGCCCTGGTCTTGCGGGTTGTTTAACCATACACGCTGCTCAGCACGGTTGGCTACGTACGGCGGGGAAATAAGTTCAACATACATACAGACAAGGAGCCAAGTCGTCGGAGCAACATAACCCTGCAGTAGCCCACAGCATTGTCCCGTCGTGCCTGTGCGCGAACTTAATCCAGCACTGGTAGAGCAGCCGCTGACATCCACACACTGCCACTGAGAGCCAATGCTGGCCGCTAAGGTCACTGGTGGAGCACCTAGCAATTTCACCACCCCCCCCCCCCCCCCCTCCACAATTTTCTTGATAAATTGTCGCAATTGTCAGTCAAGATTCAATTTCAAGAATACATTTGATTCGGTGGTCTCATACGTGATGCAGATCTCGTCAAATAATTAAGAGGTAAAGAAATATCTCACCAAGATGACACCTCTATTCAACCGTAGTAATTTCACCTGTGAATCTTTTGACAGCCATAATGTTTTTAATCAACGAAGCAGTGGGGGCAGACATTGGAACATAATTAGTGGATGTTTACCTAAATGTTTACACATAAATTGAAGACCTCAATCATCGAATTATGCCTCGGCCATGCTCCCGTTCAAAATGAAAGACAAAGACTGACTTTAAGAATTTCGGACCCCTCGACCCTCTTAGCACGTGAGCAGAAATTGTTTACAGAGATCGCAGTAATCAAGATCATGGACAATTTAGAGGGCCAGTGCAAGCTGGTTTTAGGAAATGCACTCTGCTATAAACCGAGCCAACCTGAGATTCGATTTCCAACTGCAGCTGACACCCGTGGTGAGTGATATTTTAACGAATTAAACTAATTCCAAATACCCCCCCCCCCCGGCCTTCACGCTGACCAGTGTATTGAAGTATGGTCAATCTAGTCCCAAGACCGACACATCGTGGGGAGGCTATCATCCGGCAGTGAGTTGACAAATGGACGTGAACTTTTATAATGTTTTCCGTCTATCCCCTACGTTCTGCCTTCTTTGTTCCGTCTCGCACGGACTCGTCGCCAAAAGGGAACATTTCCATACAATTTGCACGTGATTTGCATCCATTGCGAATGATCAAATTACGCACGCAATTAGATGCGCACAAGTGCAACAATACACTTGAATCAATGGATTGATAAAGCATTACACGTCTCATGAATATCGTGCGTAATTGATCATTCATGTTGCATGTATGTTACACTTCTTTCGCACCATACATTGCCAACCGTTCTAATCGGAGGTGCGATGTTACTGTGGCCTTAATTGTTACCTGCCCTATTTGTATTTTGACTTATTCTGTCACAATGAGCTCAGATGAATGAGGATCATTGAAATCGTGGACAGTATATTTTTTTATTGTTCAATTTGTTGTCCTTCCTCAGCACCTCCGATGAGTACGGTCGGTTGCGTACAGTGTGAAAGAAGTTCAACATACATATATACATTATTGTAGAAGATCAAATATATTATTGTATTTTTTGGAATATATGTTACGTTATCATTAAATACATGGATCATTTTACGTGTGCCAATTTTTAAATTGGACAACTTGATGCGCGTAATCTGGGCAATTCTTATCGGTATGAAAATTGTATTTACACAATTCGCATAAAAAAGTACACAATCGTTTCCTACGATTCTAAGCATGCATTGTAAGTTGAGAGAGTCAAATGTAATTGTACATAAGCAAGAAATTATTGTACATTTTGAATATTTTGACTTAAAACTTTCGTGACTGCAGGAATTCATATTATTTGGTTCTTTCGGTAAAGTCACGTGGATAGAAAAAAATAAACGTCGTGGTTTTTTTAAATTTTATCATTATTTCAATCTACGTGACTTTGCTGAATGAACCAAATAATATTTTGAATATTGTTGTTACGTTGAGAAATTGCCTCTCCAGGATGGCAGCTTTGTGTGAAAAGCGTTGCATTGTTTTACGATGAAAGTCCGCCGGGGCGATGCCCACGATATTCACCCTCAGCAGGCAAAAAAGTAGCCGTGTGAAGTGCCACGTGATTCTTTTTGAAGGTGCACAGAGACAAGGAGACGTTAAGGAAACAAATGCTTGAGCTTTGACGGCAATGAGAGTGACAGCCGGAGAAACGTCAAGCAGGAGCGTGGAACATAAAATCTGTGAAACAAAAACGTTTTCGTAAAACATGAAGATGAGAAGTGGGCAGAAGGCACTCCGAGGAAAGAGCAAAGCACTCGGGGTCGAGCAAGCACGGCGCAGAGCAGGGAGCGGGGAGTCACCAGGGGTTAGAGATTAAAATCGACAATATCGCAGGTACAATTACAATGCAAATGGTAGCCAGATGCAGGAAGGAAATCTCTAAAGAAAAAGGGAACCATTTTTTTTTTTAATGGAATATCGCTTGGGCAACAACAAAATAAAAACACACGGGAAGGAACGAAGGAAGGAAGCGGGAGGGGTGGACGAGAGAGCTTTAGCGATCGCGAGCAGAAGGAATGTACAAGAGAGCGAGCACACAGAGAGGGAGCGGCTGCCATGGAAACTGAGGAGGAGGAGGGGTGCGGTGCGGTGCTCAAATGCACGGGCACGGAGGAGCTAGAACACACGCGGCATCGCGGGCGTCGCTGAGCGGTCGGCGAGAAAGGGCGGTGGTGGCGGTGGTGGTGGTGGTGGGGGGGAGCTCCGCTCGAGGCTCGACCGGAGTGCCCTACAGACGTCCTCGTGCCGGGCGATGAAGCCGAGTCGCGGGCTCACCGCGTCGAGGATGCACCACGGGTAGCGCTGGCGGGGCACGTGAGTCCGGGGCCTCTCCCTCTCTCTGTCGGTGGCCAGGCGGTTCCCCGTGGCATCGCCGCCGCTCGCCGCCGCTGCTGCCGCCGCTGCCCTTTTCGTTAATTTAAGTTGCGTTTGGTGGTGGTGGTGGTGGTGGTGTTTTCTTCTGCGTTTTTGTGACATCGTTGTAGTGGCGGTTGCGTTTTGTTTGAAGTGATTCCATGTGGCTGGGGTAAAATTGTGCGTGGAGTTTATGGGGACTTTAAAATCCATATATATATATCTCCCGCAGTAAAATTGGTGCGTGGTTATGTGACTGTTTTGTAATTGATTTTACGAATAACTCGTGGTTACCTTAGATACCAGAGCAATTAATGGTAATGCATTCCCCCATTGCACCATAAAATAGGAGTGAATGTAGCGTGAAAGATGATGTTTGTGCATCTATTCATGCAAACATTAAGCTATTATGAATAAAATGTCACAACATTGAGTCGGAAAGACGACATTGATGATTGTATTGGGGGTTTACGTTGACGAATGTAAGCTATGTGCGTGGGGTGTGTGGAGTGTGTGTGTGTGGGGGGGGGGGGGGGGGGGTGTAGCAGTTAGCGCCACGCTGCGCTACGAACCCGACCACCCGAGTTCGATTCCCGTTCACGGCCAACACCTTCGGTGACGATTATCTGAACCGGTCCTGGGCCTCCCCTAGGTCGACTCAGCCTCAAATGAGTACCTGGTGCGGTGTGTAAACATCGCCACTGGGGAGACAAAGGCGGTCGGGCGTGGTGCTGGCCACCCACCCCCTCGCGTCCCATTCCGGCCTTCATAGGTGCTCGCTAACAGCACTTGCCCCTACAGTCTGTTCAGGCTATACGGGGGATCTTTGTCATTTTTTGTTTATGCCTGCTAGCGTGTTCTGCGGTTAAAGTTCCGTGTGTGAATGGGTGCTCTATGAGAATAACATTGGAAATATATCTATAATATATGTTATTAAAAATCAAAGCGCCTTAATTGCCACCGAATTAAACAAACATTGGCTTCACGTCACATTTTTAAAAGCACCCGAAAATCTCACTTCGCTTGAAGCTTCCTCTTTAAAAAAAAAAACAATAACTATTTTGAAATGAAAAATATACTAAAGGGGCGCTGCATTTATTTATGTATTTGCTAAGTGCATGGAGGGGTGGGCACTTGTAGTTGTGCTCGTGTTATTTTTGTATATAATTCAATTTGACAAAACGGCCCCGCGTGTCGTGCGCACTTCCCCGCACGGCTAGCGCCGAGATTCTACAGAGGAGGGCAAAGTCGCAACAATAAACGAACGCGCAAATAATATGACCCCCCCCTACTTTGCCGTGGAGTGAACAAATCATAGGCTTTGCGGTCCATTTCAAATCGACGGGCTGGCTCAGACTCCGTCACTTAGGGCGTCTGGAATTTGTTTTTTTTTTACCGCGGCGGTAAGGTGAGCAGCTGCAGGCATAATGGGGTTTTTACACCGGCAATAAAGGAGAAATGCCAATCAGTTCGGCGGTGACCGTCTGCTGACTCCAAATGAGTTATGCGTAGAGAGTTAATAATGAATTCCCCCAACAGGTTACCCTAACCTCGCCTCATTACTGAGCGAGATCTAAGAACGGGGGGGGGGGGGGGGTGGGGGGCACTGATAGGCCATACGTTCACTGTATCCCATAAATAGTGATTACATTGTGAAGAAAAACTCTACTTCGTACTAAAAAAAGTGCATGTGTATTTACAAACAGTATTACAACCCACTGTGAAGCAAGCCTATTAAAAGGTGCAATAAAGCACTGCTTGTGTCTTGCCATAGTCAGTCCTCCTACTGTGGGCTGGTCGGTTTGGGTGGTAGGCTAGTGGGACGATGGATGGATTGAGTCGGCAAGCAATTTGGTAGGTAAGTGGGTAGGTTTGTAAGCAAATGTGCAGGCGAACTTTATGAGAGTTGAATGAGGTAAAATATATTTTGATAATGGAGACGTGGGATGCCACGTGAGAAGCAGACATAGAGGGACATAGACACAGAATTAGTGCAAATCTGATCACAGCTGAGGCTTTCAGCTGAACACAATGGTATCGAGCCAGATCGCCATCTTGACACAACAGTCGAAACACAACGCCTTGCGGATTTCCTCAATTGTTGGTGTCAGACGCGTCGCCGGCTCGATTTGACTAACAACATAAAAAATCTGTCAAAAATAATGAAGGTCGAGATGAAAATCTGCCCAAAATATTTGTGTGCTGCCATCAGCCCCGATTCTCATGAGCACGCGTATTATGTTGTTGTCGGTGGACGTAATGACACCCTACCCAAGGGCAAAAAATGTGTTTGTTTTCTCCAAAGGTGCAGTCCGATTGCCGGCTCACCCCACAGCTGGCGTCAAAGCCTTTGCTCGAGCAAGCGCTAGCGAAGACTCATGGGTGTATGGCCACCTCTTTCACGTTGGCCTGACATCTTGGAAGAGGTGGGAGGAGCCATACTTTGCCACCACCACCACAAGCGACCGACCCATCGACGAAAGCGTGGCACGTCCTTTGATACTGCTGGCTGCAGTGGCGGCACGAGGCATACGCAAACTAAACGAGTCGCTTAGCAGCCTAAGCAGCCCAATTGGCCACAGGTTCATGAAAAAATAGGGGTGGGCCATATGTCAGCTAAAATTGTAGTCCTAATAAACACAACACGTTTATTAATCTCTCTCATCACTATCCTGTTAATAACTTTCCTCTCTCATCTCGCTCCTCTTTCTTTTGCATTTCTCTCACCTCACTACATGCCTACCTTTTGTGTATATATATTTATTTTGTCATCTCGCTAGGCGTTAAAAAAATACAAAGAGAAGGTGCGCTAAATTAATTTCTGCTTAAGGCCCCCCCCCCGCACCCACCCAATGAGATCTGCAAGCACCACTGTTGTGACTGGTGGAGAGAAGCGGGGGGGGGGGGGGGAGGATGGAGGAGGTGGGAATTTAATAAACTTGCGAGAGGAGCGTTTGATGAAAACAACGGCTGCATCCCCCACTTGCCTGCAGCAGTCGCTTGCTAGAATCTCGGCGCGTTTCTCCTTGAGCCCAACAAAGCAGAGATTATTGCGGGAGGCTGAGTTTTCACGCGGAGGCATCGCCAGTGGCACGGAGCTCAGATCTGTCCACGGCCTATGTTGAAATATTTTTCACGTGCCAACATCCCTGATTGACACCGTGCATTTTTTCAGAAGCCGGTTATACAGACAGCTACATTCAGACAGCCACGCGAAGTACGTATTTTCCGTATTATGTGAATTGGAAAAATCCCTCGTTCATGTGTTTTTTTATTTCTTGAAAATTATGCGCGCACGCGTTCGACATTAGTGAGGTCTCGCGCTCTCTCGCTCTCTCTCTCTCTCTCCGGGCTCGAGTGGAGAAGACGCCGTCACTCTTGAGGTTTATTATTTCCGTGCGAAGATTTACGAGACATTTTGTTTTCGTGATTTGCGGCGTCTTCATTCAGGCTGACGCTTTTTTTCTCCCCTGCAAGAATGTGCGACTTGAGAAAAGAATGTCTTCACTTCGCACACCGGGAAGATGGGAGAGAGAGGCAGAGAGAAAGTGCAGCGTGGCCATTATGTGCCACTCACAAGAAGTAATTCATTGGTGCCACCGAGGACGAGATTTGAGATGCAGTCTTTGTGCCGCACGTCAGCTTTATCTGAGGCGTAGCAATTCTCGAGCCCACGTGAGCATGCATTACTGGCATGCCATTGTGATATGACAAAGGCAGCTCAAGTGGGGACTTCCAAACATAACGGTGGAGATTGTACTCAGTATGGGGCGAGATGAGAGAGAGATTTTTTTGTTGTTGCTCAAAACAAATGAAAAAAAACCCGGCGCAATCGGCACCAAAATCGGCTTCCTTTCTATTGCGCTCTTCAAGCCGGACGCGTCATGTCGGACACGGCAGCCGGACCTGGGTGAAGGGGGTCAGAGGCAGGCAAGATCTCTTTCAGTCAATCCCGTGGGGCGAATCTTTATGCGTGTGCCCTAGGCACGAATCCCGCTGCGGCGATCGCGATGACCTCGAGGTGGCCACCCAGAGAGACGCGAGCGAGCGTGGGGCGGTGCTCATCTCGCGCTGGTGCCTCCGAGCCGGTGGTGAACATTTCCGCTCATTTTATCCACCCCTGCCGGGTGGGGGGGTGATGATAGGTTTCGTCAACCCCCCCACCCCGATGATTTGAACTCGCACACCGAGCGGGATTTTTTAAAATATTTTTTTTTTCCCACCGACGCCCACCCCCACCATTTTTTCTTAATTGCTATTGGCATCAAAAATATTTTTTGCGTTAAGTGTGTTGTCCTTGCCCTACACCTCCGATGAGCGCGGTTGGCTACGTACGGTGCGCACGAAGCTTAACACACACACATACAGTCACGTCATGACCCTTCCATTTTATTGTAAGATTCATGCGTGACTGTCACACCGATATCTGAATTCTCAGAGCTAGAATTTAGCAAACGTAAGTGCAGAACCTACTGCAATGTGATAGTTTCGTATGTGCAGTCATTCGTGACTGGACTGTGGCCATCAACTCACTCCACTTGAGAACTCAATTTAATAAAAGGTGGATAAAAAATAACTCGATTCAAACCATCAACTGACCAACACTTCACTGACCAGCACTTCACCTTGGGAGTATGAGACGGGCCCTCTGCTACCGTGCCACTGGGCTACCACTGCCCACGTCCAAGATCGGATTAGCTATGGCTGGTGTGTGTTTGTCCACGCAATTGACATTTGCCCGGTGAAATGTGATCACCACCACCGTGCGTCCACCAACAGGCGTGCGCTAGCGCAGGCTGGATCGTTTTGTTGTTGTAAAACCTGGAATTGGCTCATCATCGTCAAGTGGAATGGATCGCTGTCGGTACTACTTTGATTTTACTTCCCTCAGTCGTCACGTGGTGGCTGACGATGAGGCTGGGTTGAAGTTCTCTTTCGTTTCACCGCTCGGGCAGCCTGCTTCTTGAAACGCCTGCGGTTTTTTTTCTCTGTTAAGCCGTCTCTCGTGCCATCAAATGGTCAATCTATCAAAACCCACCTCTTGCGCGCGCGGCCCATAATGCATCGACGGCATCCGACAAGATTAAGCGTAGCCGATGGGGTGGCATGTCGATGGGATTTGCGGCAAAACGCTTGCTGCAATCGTCCGCCGTAATTCAGTAACGCATTATTCCAAAGGTGATGTAGCAGCGCTAAGTACGTTGGGTAAGGTGTTTTTTTTAATCTATGCAAGGTAATTAAAAATAACAAACGGAATCCCGCCCGAGCTTTTAAGTTTGTTTGTTGTTGCATCGCACGACAATTAATTATCAAGCCACGATGCAATTATGAAAATGAGACCCAACATTAATTGTGAATTGCCTGGAGGTCTGGATCACTGGACTCGCAAGGGCTTGGCAGCGCTTGCTCATCATCAAAGCAGGGGCCCAATTCATTGCGTGCGCAGCTCCTAATCAGCGAGCTCGCGGTTCCTTGATCTCTCTCCCAAGATACACAATTGCCCTGTTTAATACCTGAGTGGCAAGCGCAATTGTGAGTCATTTATATTTATAGTCGTGTTGGTGCGCGCGCGTGTGTAATTGTGTACGTGTGAAAGCGCTCTCTGTTTTGTCTTTGGATGTATGTATGTATGCACTTATGGGGAGCGGTAGTGCCGTGGTTAGCGCGCTCCGCTACGAATCTGGAGACCCGAATTCGATTGCCGCTCACGGCCACCACCAGTGACGATTATCTGAACCGATCCTGGGCTTCCTCTAGGTTGACTCAGCCTTGATTGAGTACCTGGTGCGATAAAGGCGGCCGGGCGTGGTGCTGGCCACCCACCCCTTCGTGTACCGTGCAAGCCTTGATAGGTGCTCGCGAGCAGCACTTGCCCCAACAGTCTGTGAAGGCTATAAGGGGGGTCTTTGTCTGTGTATGCACTTATGCTTGTGGAGTGGGACTACATTGTATCGAGTGCTGCGCTACAATACTGACATCCTGAGCTTGATTCCAAGTGCATATTTACCAGTTGCAATGGCGCAATGTATCACCACATGTGCAAATGATATTTATTTATCATCATTATTGGCCATGGTTTAATCAACTCCTGACGATTAAGGCAATGTGCCATTAAGGCACAATATTAAATCAAATTAATATGACTATCCACAGGTGTGCCATGCTGGGCCTTAATTTATGTTCACGAGCAGCACTTGCTTAAACCATCTGCGAGACTTCGACATGTATATTTTGTCGTTATAAATGCAATACATTAGCGTTAACGAATAACAATATCATGATTTGATGCCACCACCCTGGTCTCATGGTCGAAGCAGAACGTATGGCGATTTGGCGCCCTCGCTTAATGATGCACCCACAATCTGTAGCAGCGCCAGGAAATTACCAGGCTTTACAATTGTTTTTTTCTATTTTACGAGGTAAGGCGCCACTGAGCTACGTAGCTCTTGTTTCAGAAGCGACCTGGCTATCACAAATGATAGCTCAACGAAGTGGCTTATCGCGTGGAAATGTATTGCAGCCAAATACTCTAGACGCGTATTTCAAAATGTGGAGAGGAAATCCGGAGGACCCAGAGAAAAATCCACGCGACCACGGGGAGAACATTGAAACTCCAAATATACAGCAGGCGTCAAGGTCGGGATCGAACCCACGACCTCCTGTATACCAAACGAGGTAGTCAACATGTCTGTGGAACGAGGGGAGATAATGAAAGCATTCCATAAACTCCTACTGCTGCTGCCGCATGGTTGTGATCAGTGCTGACGTTGGTCAGAATATGAAGACTATTGAACAACCTTCTGGGATTAACCGTCACCCAGAATTCCGTACAACGCGGTGAAGAATTAACTACTCCAAGTGTGTCTTGGAGCTGGCAATGCCCGTTTTATGTCAATTTTCCAATTGCACATCCAAGCCATACCAGTACGGGTCCCTTGCGGTACAGGTGGCTTTCCACAGGCTATTTGCCGAGCTGAGAACAGAAGCAACCCATGATACGCTGGGCTTACAAGCAAGGTCCTCGCGTGATACCTGAATCTGGTTCGAGGTTAAGCAGGGTCAGTGGCGGAGTTATTCGATTTCATAATGTCATGCGTCGACTCGTTCATTGCGTGCGAGGTAAGTGGCACCGCTCCACTTCCGCGGTGGAAAAACCTTGCACCTCCTTAGCCGCGCCAAAGTGGCTTGGTATGGTCCCGGTGTGGCTTCGGCATGTCTCAGTCGAGCAGTGGAAAAAGAGGGATACGAATCCAGAAACAGCATTGATTCGTAGCACCACAGGATCTTCCGTCTTAAAAAAAAAAAAACACCACTGCCATCATCTTCAGCGAGTGACACAACCGTGGCTACAGGTTCTCTCTACCCTCCTTCCGAGAATAATATACATTTTTTTGCCCTATCCATGTTTTGCTCCTGCTCGCCTTTGCGGTACAGTAGATTTCAGCAAATGTGCTAGAAATCTTCCGCGTCGGCGGTCGCAGCTGACGAGACGCCCGCGTTCACACCTGCCCACGCGTGCCGACGCCCTCTGCGATCGAGTCTGCCGTCATTATGTGTCGTGGGACTCGCGGGCGATTATCTTTTACCAAGTGACCCACGAAACATTAGTCACTACCCACAGCCACCGACGCTCCCGGCTTTGGATAGCTTTGACAATGAACCTGAGTTGCGTGGGGTGGGGACGGTGGTTATGCTGCCACTATGGGAATGCTCCTTTTAGCTCTATCCAACTACGCAATTAAAATAAACTTGTTTTATTTGACCAGGTAAGGCCCAATGAGCGTTATAGCTCATTTCCCAGAAGCGACCTGGCCACAAATGATAGCTCAACGAAGTGGCTCATCGTGTGGAAATGTATAGCAGTCAAATACTCTAAAGGCGTGTTTCTAAATGTCGAGGGGAAAACACCGGAGGACCTGGAGAAAAATCCACGCGACCACAGGGAGAACGCATGTTTCTAAATGTGGAGAGAAAATCCGGAGAAACACACGCAAACTCCAAATATGTCAGGGTCGGGGTCGAACCCACGGCCTTCTGCATACCAGGCGAGGTAGTTAACATCTCACCACCGTGGCCCCCTAATGTTGAAAGCATTTATGCACCAGCTCTGTTCATCCCTCCGTCCGTAATGAGGGCGGCACTTTAACTTTCTTAAAGATGTTCCAATATGCACAACACTTGAGGGTAGTGTTGTGTTGCTATTCAGGAATTATCCTATTGAGAACCAGCCAAATTGATCAAAGGGTTATTGCCCAAAAAACGTGGAGATGGAAACCAGAGCAAAAAAGCACGATTTGCAGATATACTTACGAGTTTGCCTTGACACCTGCATATTCACAAATATGCAAATGAATGTCGGCCTTGACAGCTCCCCCATCAGCGTCTGCGCTGCTGATTAAATACTTCTGAAGGTTAACGCATGTTGGAAATCGTGACCCATGTGTACGCGTGACGTTTCGTAACTTATTTGGCCAGCTGTCGGTCTCATTCTGGTGGTCCCCCCAACCTTCACAGGTTTCTTCACTGGTTATAGATGCACCACCGTTCGCTTCACATTTTGAAGATAAATAAAGAGCGTGATCTGGATTTTAAGTAAAGAGAAAAAAGAGAACATTCAAATCTACATATATATTTTAAATTAAGACCTTGATCTAATTTCAAACACCGAGTTTATTTTCATTAGCACAACTTATAACACATTGAATTGCCAAAATGTTAATCGAAAACTTTCATCACAAATATTATTTAAAGTCCACTTTGATTTTAATTCATGTATGCTCCACGCTGTTGCATTTTTTCAGGCTTTTTTTGATAATTACTTGTTTTCACTCAGAGGCACACTGAGACCGAGCACTATTTTTCATGAGGGCCCTGCTCCATTGGGTATTTATTTTAAACCTTTACCGTTCTGATATCGTACCTGTACGACATGTACGTCATCAGAATGTGTACATCATGACGTATACAGAACGTCTACGTCATCAGTTTTTATTCCGATTCCATTTTAATGACGTACATGTACATGCGAGAGGGCGTGTGGCACAGTTTGGCACCGGCTATCATAGAATGCGGTCGTGTCGCTACAGTTCTCTGCAGTGACTACAATGTGGATAAAAACAGCGGCGCTATGCCCCTCTAAATAAAATTAACGCTAACAGCTTGTGCATTCCGAGATTCGGCGGTGAATAGGACACCCAATCTGAAACTTGCAGACGCCTCAGAATGGGAAAGGGTTGATGTGTTCAGCTAAACATTTTTTTATTGTTGACACGTAGGTTTTCGAGACCAATATTATGGTAAGGTCACATGGGTATAATGTGTCGTACACCCTCCTACACCGAATAAAAGCAATTAATAAAGTTGTCACATGATGAACAAAGGCGCCAATTTTGTACCGGTTCCGCAGCACGACCAGTAGTGTTGAAGAGTAATCCACGAACGTTTAACAATTGGGTACGAAGTTTCGCTGGTAGGTCCAACCAGCATCATCAGACAGTGTGGCAATTTTGATTTAAAGCTTTCGTGACTGCAGGGATTCATATTCTTGGTTCTTTCGGTAAAGTCACGTAAAAGGGAAACAATAAAATACAAAAATAAAACATACTGCTTCATATTTTAATTTTTTTATTGCTTCCCTTCTACGCGACTTTACCGAAAGAACCAAGAATATAGTTTGCCAATTGTTAAATTCGTGTCGATCACTCTCCAACACACCGGCGGTGCTGCGGAACAGTAGTAATGCGTGCACACGTTCTTCTATGGGTAGAGGAGGGTATACAACACACATTTAACTCGCACGGCCTGACCCAAAACCCTATTATGCACGAAGAGTGTTTATACATGTTTCCATAACTTTACGTGTAATCAGCGCAACAGTGCTTTTCAACATGTGTTATTCCACTGATCAATGTTCGTCCTGTATATCTGTTAAGCTCCGAGATTATAAATCGTCTTACTGCATTGATTTTTATCTTATGAGTGCCATTAGGTGGCCTCAAATCATCCTGGGCCGTTATCTTCGGGAACTAAATTCCATTACTTTGTGTGCAGCGTCTTTAGATGCAGGGATGCTGCCATCGTTTCACAGACTGGATTGCCAATAAAACTAAAATGAAACTATTTTTTTTTATTTTACCAGGTAAGGCCCCACTGAGCTATACAGTATAGCTCTATTTCAGAAGGGACCTGGTCAAAAATAATAGCTCAACTAAGTGGCCTATCATGTGGAAATGTGTAGCAGCCACATACTCTAAACGCGTGTTTCTAAATGTGGAGAGAAAATCCGGAGAAACACACGCAAACTCCAAATATGCAGCAGGTGTCAGGGTCGGGATCGCACCCACGACTTCCTGAATACCAGGTGAAGTAGTTAACATCTGGCCACCGTGGCACCCAATCCCATGGTCGCCAGTTCGATTCAGTCTCCCAGCACGGCAGCTGTAACGATGCTATAAGCTTCTCAGATCCCTCCACCTCTGTCCACCCAGCAGTGTAAATGGGTTCACCACACAATCAGCCGGTTGCGTATTGTGGGTAAAGTGTGGATACTTTCACCTCTTTCAGGATGTCTGGGCGGCGTAGAAACGTAGGTTAAATTACCACTATAGAGGAGCTTTCTACAGCTGCCTCTAGTGGAGGCCCTTCCGTTAGCAGTGGCGTGAGCAAGGCATTTCAGGGCTGCGCCTTTAACCTTGAGATGCAGTAAAATTCAGATGCCCGATAAATCTAAATTGCAATGCTACCGCTGTGTTCTAACGTTCGTGAATAAAACTGACAAAAGAAATCTTTAAAATGGAAAAAGGACAGTCATTTAAAAGCATCCTCTGTGTAAATCAGATAAATATATGTATCACATTAACTATACATTATTTAACATGTGATAGAGTCAGTGTGAGCATTACAAATCACACCGAACACCGTGCATCGGATGTGCTGATAGCAATGAATGGATTGAATTCATACATTTTGGTCGACATAAATATTCAAAGGCGACTCAATTTACGTTTACTTTGATGCATTTTTCCATTTAAAAAAATCTATTTTTCATTTTCACTATTTTATCGAACATGAAATGAATTTTAATGAAATCGTGAAGCACAAGGTAATTTGTTTTATCATCAAAAAAGAGGCCCCGTGTTTACCATTTTAATACCTGTCCGATGTATTATGTCTTCCCAGGAGCGCTAACGTTATTCAGTGACCGAAACAAGAAAAAACCTCCCTCTCTTCCTCTGCGAAGCGATGGACCCCGGGAGTTGTCTTCATCTCAGCTCAACCTCATATCCGCCCATACTGGAAACACGTTGACATTCTCTTTAGCGGGGCAGTGGAGAATATTTACACGGCCCAGCCATGGAGCCGCTCAGGGGCAACCCCGGTCAGCCGCGAATCAACATCATCACTCGGCTGCAAACCGAGCGACCTCCAGTTGACACACCGTGGGACCCCAATTCCACCAGCGGCCTGGACGGTGCCACGACGTTGGAACCACTCGAGGAAAACTTGAACTGTAGCGGGAACTTCTTGGACATGGAGTGTTTCATGATCCTGACCAGGGACCAGCAGACGGCAATCGGCGTGCTTTCGCTCACTATGGGAATCTTTACCGTGCTCGAGAACGCCCTGGTCCTCTTCATCATCTTCCGCACGCGGAGCCTTCGCAGGAAGCCCTCGTACCTCTTCCTGGGCAGCGTGGCCTTCTCGGACCTGCTCTCCAGCATCGTGTTCGTGTACAGCTTCACGGACTTCCACGTCTTTCACCGCAAGGACACGCAGAACGTCTTCTTGTTCAAGCTGGGCGGCGTCACGGCATCGTTCACCGCCTCCGTCTGCAGCCTCTTCCTCACCGCCATCGACCGCTACATCTCCATCCACCAGCCGCTGTCCTACAGGACCATCGTGACGCGCGTCAGGGCCGTGACGGCGCTGAGCGTCATGTGGACGATAGCGCTGTTGACCGGCGCCCTGCCGCTCATGGGCTGGAATTGCCGGCAGCTGCACTCCAAGTGCTCGGACATCTTCCCGCACATCGACAAGATGTACCTGCTCTCGTTCATCAGCCTGGTGACCTTCCTGCTCGTCGTCATCATCTACGCGTACGGCTTCATCCTGTGGAAGGCGCACCGCCACACCACCAACATGATCAGGCGGGCCTCCACCAAGATGAGCCGCGTGTCCGTGACGGAGAGGCGCAAGGTGGAGCAGCACCGCATGGACATCCGCCTGGCCAAGACGCTGGTCCTCATCCTGGTCGCGCTCATCATCTGCTGGGGGCCCGTGCTCACCATGATGGTGTACGACGTTTTCGGCAGCGTGGACAACCACATGAAGCGCGTGTTCGCCTTCTGCTCCATGCTGTGCCTCATGAATGCCACCATCAACCCGGTCATCTACGCCATGCGCAGCAAGGATCTGCGCATGGCGTGCGCCATCACCTTCCGTCCGCCACGCAGCGTCACGCAGCCGCTGGAGAACAGCCAGGAGAGCGACGGGCAGGCCAAGTCCACGCTCGCCACTGGCCAGGCACCGGCAACTGGCCAGGCCCCGGTGCCGGCCGCTCCTGCTGCTGCTGCTGCCGTCACTGTGGTCGACAAAGCCAGCGAGGCGACCGAAAACGTCTGCGCCCCTTCCACGTCGGGCCTCGCCCGCCAGCCCAAGACGGCGCAGATTGTTCTGGAGACGGGCGAGCGCGTTCCTCCACAGGCCGTCTAACAAGGCGGGTGGGTGGCTCGAGGTGGAAGTCCAAGCAGGATCCAAGGGGAGCAAACAAACACACGGCGGTCATTACAACGAAGCTGCTCGCGTCAAGGAATTCGTTCGGGCGATGCAGTTGCGGAGTTTGTAAGCCCGGAGACTCGGTGAGGCTTTCCCGGGTAAATAAATGAGAACGGGAAGTTGAGGGGGTTTTTTTTCACAGCTGTGCGGCTGTATCCTGTGTTCGGGGAGCTTCTTCAGCAATTCAGTTCCTGAAAAAGCAACCCAGCACGTGGAGCAAAACGTTGGACATAATGCCGAGTAATGCGATACAATTCGAAAACACATCAGAGCGCTAAACCAGAAGGTTATATTTTTCAAAAAGGATTTTGCCTTCTTACTTGGTGGCGACAGTCAACTGGTTATAACATGTTGTGCAAAATCACGGTAAGAATTAAGAGAATGTTCTTTTTGGGGTGGCCGTTATGATAGTGTGCTCTCTTAGCCGCTCTGGCTGTGGGTTAAGCCCCCCCCCCCCCCCCCAGTGCTTTAATCTGTCTGGCTCAGTCGTGGGGGAGCCTTCAGTTCCTCGTCGAGTCAAAAGGCCCCATTTGGAGTCGCGCGGTAGATTAACTGCTTTGCGCAATTGTGTTGCGTGACGTGTGGTCGTGTGCGCATGTGCTGCGAGTAATACTTTACTTACACTATATGAGATACGTTATTATAAGTGCGTATAAAAGAGGACAAAAAGTTCCTTTAAAAAAAATCCATTCAAAAAATACTATGTATATATGTAAACATTTAATGTGCGACATTAATCTGCGAATAAGCTGAACAACTCATCTGCCACCGGACTCATACAATTTTGCACCATGAATGTCACCACAATTTTTATTTTTATTTCGAGCGTTTCGCTTCGCCATATAGAACTGCCCTTTTTTAAATGACGCTATTGACACTCCATTTTGACGTTTCAAAGTCTAATCCGCTTTACCTCCCCATCATGGGGGGTAGGGGGGAAGAGTGGAAATTGCCAGCTTAGAGCAGCGGAGGTGAAAGCATTGGCAGCGAGAGGAATCATTGCGTCTGACTTTTGCTCCTCTCTTCCATTGCATAACTCATCAGGTTTAGCAACTGATTTTAATAAAATTGCCATGATAATAGAATAAGTGATGTTTTTGCACGATTAATATCTTTAACTTTTAGGTTTAAAAAAATTACGGTTTAATTTTTTTCCTTCTAAAATTGGTCAAACATCCCAAGTATTCCCTACGTAAACAGTCTTAGGGTCTCTCAGTGAGGCTTTTCTGGGTAATATAAAAGACACCGTTATTAAATCAAGAAGAAAATAAACATGCCGGTTGACACCGGTTGTTACAGCACGCAGCTCGCAATCACATAATTGTGATTTCATATCCTCCGTCCAAGGATCACTTTTGCACTTTATCCCTCGGAAACTTTATATATTGAGTACCAATTTATGGAAAGTCAACGGTGGGTTTTTCCAAGATCAGGCCATAGAAATGTGGAATTTCCCCTTGTACAAACAACACATACACGCTGGATCATGCTTGCTTGAGCAGGAACCTATTCTCACACCACTTACGATATGTAAATATTTTTGTTATCCATATAATCAATAAGAATTTATCATGCTCAAATTATAACACGTCTCAATGTGCAGTCTCCATTTGCTTATGTGTATGTTGTGATTCGGTGATGCACAAGATGAAACATTTACCGAATATGTAACGGTTGCGGGTGAATCGATGGTGCAGTAGTTGGCGCACTACACAGGCATCCAGCAAGCAAATGACCTGAATTCGAGTTCCATCCATTGTAGACATCAGTGGTGAGTGATATCTGGACCAGTTTTGGGTGCCTTCCCACATCGAAACGTACTTACCAGTGTAGTGAAGTATGGTAGGTTTAAAAAAAATAACCCCCATGACTGACAAGACATGAGGATACCTTCATGCATATTGACAAAGGGCTAAAAAAATTATTAATATTATCATTATTCTTAAGGTTAATTTTTTTAATTTTTAAATCGATCCAAGTGGCTTCTGGTACACGGTGTTCTGTTTAGTTTGAGTTGCCTGCTGTGCCGGCTGCCCAGTAACGCGTTGTGATTCATAGCCTGGTTTATCAGCATGTGGCTTTGCGAGGGCTCATCCTGCACATGGCTTATCTATGCTTAACAGGGGTGCGGGAGTTACATTGAATGAAATCAATATAATTACTGCGAGTCGCTGTAACTCTCTTCTTTTTTAATTTCTTTTCTACCTCGCCATAATGAATAGTCATTAAAAGTGTAATGGCGTCTGCTTAAATTCACGGTGCTCTTTTAGGCACGTTCTGATTTTGTTTCTGATAGCGTGGCCTTTATCTGCTGTGCTCTTCGCAATTCTCGTCGCAAGCTACAAACGTCCTAACCCTCCGAGCGCCAAGTTCAAGGCGTCCCAAACAAAGAAGGCAAAATCCTTTTTGCGCAGGACATTACGTCTGATGTGCGCCACCCTGTCGGCGAATTGTGATAACTTTGCCAATGATAAAATACCACGTGGATAGCCTGAGCCAGAGCCATGCCTTTGGGCTCCCATCCCACGCCTGGGGATTCTCTTGTTTCCCAGCCGTTTCCCGAACACCGTGCGGGCCTCACAAACCAAAGCAGCCCCGTCCCCATCGACCTGGCTGGGTCAGGTTTGTCGAACATCGCAAAAGTGAGCGGCGTTTCTTTCTGTGCCACGGCGCGCCCGAGAATCAGGTGTGGAGGATCTTTCACCACCACCCAGTGCTGGACTAAGCTAGTGCGGAGCCTGTAGCATCATATGTTATAAAGGGGGCCATAAATAAAGAAAGAAAGAACACGCTTTAATATTAAAATACTAATTTTTAACTTGCATAGTAAAGTAATTGTATTTTTTTTCAGTTGCTATACAGCGAGATCATTCGACAAATCGCTAACCTCAAACACCCAGTCGTTCATAAAAGTTTAAGGTGGTATAGTACTATAGTAATAGAGCAAGTGCAGAATCACTGAACCGGAATTGATAGCTTGAAAGCATTTAGCGCGGGGCCCTTGAAAGTGCGGGGCCCGTAGAATCTACATGTGTAGCTACTTTTGCTACTACGGTAATCCGGCACTGCACCACCACCACCACCACGAATGGCAACCGTGAATTGTCGCACAGCCGCCGGCATCTCCCGCACAGGCCCTCAAAACACATTCCTCACCGGCATCGTTTGCTTTGGAGAGGTTAGGCACAGCCATTACTATTAACTGAATGATTAATTGTTTTGCATGCGGCTTGCGCTAATTGCGATGGCCACCGGCGACCTCGGAAATTTCACACGAAAAAAATGTTTCCCCACTGGATGGAAACGCGGAGAGAATATATATATAAAAAATTCAAACGCTGCCACCGTTCCCACGAAAGCATTCAAAGCTGCAACAGTATAATCAGTTATAAATGGTTGGTGTCGGTTTTAGCGCTTTGTTATTCAAAAGTCAACGTTGAACTGCAGTGTGTTTGTAGAAAGAAAAAAAAACTGGCTTTAATTTATACACGGTTGTAGCGAAGTAAAGCCAATTTTATTAACGAGAGTCGTCTAAGATAGTGGGTCTATTCAAGGTGCCTAATTCAAAGCACCGTGTGAAACGCTAAATAACTTAACAACTTATAGTGCGTTGCAAATCTATATCTTATACATACGGTATACAATCTATATGCGGAGTGATATTTTGAATGTGCGTACTGTGACCTGCGTACGTGAGCCTCGTGCGACTCCCACTGTGGTGCTGTCTAATGTGATGTGCGGGTGTCCACCTCTCGGTTTTTTTTATGGCTGATGATGCCTATCGGGGAACTCGCTCACATAACGTCTAATCTGGCTGTCCGCCTGGGTGGATGGATCAGGTGTTTGACCGCCTGTGCATTAAGATAGCACCTGTGGCAAAAAAAACACACACTACAGTAGACAATGTTTTATGCATGTAAGCAGTTGTAATGGAAGATTAGGCCAAATACCATTTGGAGGGCTTCTCTAGCGGAAGCCCTTTCACGAGCAGTGGCATGAGCGTGTAATTGCAGGGATGCACCTTGAGCTATATGACCAGTGCCTCTGACCAAATCACCTAGGATGCATCAAATCTCAGAAGCCGAGCAGGCGTGAGCCTGGGTATTGATTGGATGGGTGACCGTCATGGATCGCAGGTGTTTTAGGCTGCAGGGATAACGTGGGGGCAATAGAGGGCAGACCGGCATAATACATCAATGTACTATACTATGCTCCCAAGCCTATGGTCTGCACCTTCACCAACCTGTATTGACCAGCCATGGTGACGTATGGTCAAACAACCACCGCGACTCGCACGGAGCGGGAAGGCCCTCATCCAGCAATGGGTTGGCAAAAAGGGCTGTACTGTGTACATGTATATAAATATTAATATATATAGATTAACCCAGTAAATAGAATCAGCATATGTGAAGGGGAGTAGTGGTGGTGGCTTGGCTGACCGAGTGAGATCCAGTTTCTACGGGGTCAGGTTACACGATCTTGATTTTTTTAAGTTTTCGTGACTGCAGGAATCCACGCTCTTTGGTTATTTCGGTATACCTACGTACGTGACTTTTACCGAAAGAACCAAAGAGTACAGGTTACACAAGTTGAAGGTTTGATTCACAGCACTACTCGGTGGCATTGCTGCCAAAGTTCACCGTCTATTGTAAAAATAAAACGGCGATCAGGACCACGCAAGGTCGCTTCAAATGCGTAGGCAGCAGCTGTTGCGATATCAGTGCCATGCACGAACTGGCGCATTTATAAACAAATTTATGATTGTAAGGAGCGGGGGGGGGGTGAAGCAGACCAAACAAAAACTGAAAAGCGGACACCCCATACATTATTTGACCAAATGAAATGCACAGGAAATGTATAACTTGTGAACTTTTAGTTGTGAAAGGTTTCTGTCACCGCACTGAACTCTGTATGATTCCGACCCCTGGGCTCTGTTCTGGACATGTGCAGTGTAGGCTCCTGCAATGCCATGCAGTCAGTGTTTGCCTGGATGGGTTAAAATATCAGACTTGAGGTCGGGATTGGAAGACACGAGGGAAGTGTCGGGTCAGAATATGAATTCCCTTCACACAAATGGAATGTTTCCGACCTCACTGCTGACATCTGTGCCTGCACTTTAAGAGATGGTTCCAACATACACAAGTGCCAACAGTGAAAAGGGATCAGTCTGTTCTGTTTCGAAGGTTCGGTGTTATTCGGAAGACTTTAGATATCTCACGCTGAGTTGTAGAGGATTTGTGGTTCCTTTTTTTAGTGTTGTTTTCTTCTACAAGTTGATATCCTCTGGAACAGCGTGCGTGTAGAGGGGTGAATATGTGTAAAGGTGGCTTTAAAAAAAATCTAACGAAATATATGTCATAACTTTGATAATCAGACTGTTGGAAATTATTTCAGAGGTTCCTTCTTTTCTCAGAAGGCTTCCTACTGTGTCGTAGGTTTATGTTTGAAAGCGTTTTTATCTCTCTCTCTTTGAGCACTTGGCCCCATAGAGGGTTCTGTAGAGGGTACTCTGCGCTATTTCTCACGACTTACATTTCGTCGTTGCTTCTACTCGGGGCACTCGGGGCAAAGGGATTGACTGTGCATCCCGACTTTGTGTTTTTCTGCTGTGGTGCCGTGTGGCAATACTAATGGCAATGATAATTCAGTACTTCGTATTGTGCAATATGTGTTTTGTGTGCTTCAGTAAAACTGTGATTGCTTCTTTTAAAGTCACGCAGACAATTACATTCGCGGTGGTGGGTGAGGAACGACCCACAATTCTTCGAGACCACGACGTACACCTGCAGTCCTTTCCCAACAAAGCGTCTTGACCGAGCGTAGATTATTCCCGTGGAAGCCACATCGATGTGAGGAACGGCCTGTCACTTGTTTTTTTCCGGACGGTACTCACTCGGGCGACTGTCATCAGAACAGCCCCTTCTCAGCCGCTGCCGCGATGTTCATCAGTCTCGTCGAACGTCCAAAACTTGGCTGACCTCAAAAAAACAAAAACCCTCGTGGCTTTGCCGCCTGCGGAACGGTTGCCGGCAGCTTTCACAGTTCCAGCAACGCCAATGTTTGTTCGTTGAAAGAAAAAAAAGAAATCATGGTTCGTGAAAATATCCGGCAAGCGTCGCGAAAAGAGACACCCGAAAAATGCGGCGGCCCGTGTTAAGACGCCGGAAACCTCCGGAAGTACGATAAACACTTCCAAACGCGTTGTTGAACAATTGCGTCGGAAAATGGATCAGACACCCCGCCCCCCCTCCCCCCCCAAGTGGCGCACGAGGTGGGATGCGACGGTGTTCAGTGGTCACTCGCGTCTCTCGCGAGTAACGAGACGCTCGTCATCGATGCTTACAACCCGTGTGGGCCGTGGCAGACTCCAGTGAGCACAAATTACCGGCGGATTGCTCGATTTGTTGGCGTTGTGTAATCTGTAAAAAAAAACGAAGGCCACCCAAAGGGGCATCTCGAAGTGCGGTTACGGAAAAGTTTTCCCAAAGAGATGTGGGGGGGATCGTGCGTTCAATCGGCCTTGTGCTGCTGGACTTACAGTGCAGAGGCAGGCATGGTTAACCAATGCCCTGTTACGCCGTGTAACCCGGATACACTGCATAACCTGGAGAGTCCCAATTTCACTCCCTGTATTGAGGCGAGTGCAGTTTTACTCAGAGTCGCTGACTCTGAATTAAACTAGTGTGTGGCAATCTAATATCTCATTTTCATGGACTCGAGTGCACTCAAGTTGGCCTGATTCATCCTAATTTGGCCTGATCTCTCCCAGAACCCTGAGTTGATGGACGAAATCGAGCTGGTGCAAATCAAATAAGTGGTGTTTCCACGATGTTTCGAGTTAGTCGCTTTATTACATTAGTTAGGCAAAAATATTTCCCGGAAATGTATATGTCCACTCAGACTGAAATTTGATGTAAAATTTAAAACAGTGCAGCATATGATGTGAAATCAGCCCATAGAGTCCAGGCACCTGCCCGAATTGGCAGCCAACACAAAGTTGCCTACAAACATGGAAGTGGAGTTTTGGACGGGGAAACTCGAGTTGTGTGGTTCATTGAAAAGTGGGGGTATCAAAGTGCTGGAGTCGAGGCTTATTTAAGAAAGTCGCTCATTACCGCATCCGCCTTCCCAGGCATCTCGCTGCCGTATTTTGTGTTTAGCTTTCTCTCTTCCTCCGCCCTCCTCTACACATGCGGCCTCCCCACCAATACCATCCGCTCCCAGGAGACCCTCTGCCCCAGACTGGTATTGCCTTCTGCTGACACACGTTGATAAATGAGCATTCGCTGGAGAAATCAAAGTGGAATCGCATGAAATTGACAGGAGCTGGGGAATAAGGAATCTGATGCAATTGACTGTAATTTCTCAGGCGCAGAGGCGTGTGCTTATTGCTAAATCCCTCCACACAGCGACACTGCCAAGGTAAAGAGAAAAATAACTATTGAAAAGAGTCAGACATGTTTAAAGAAACGTCGTTTTATCATCAATATTATCACAAAATGTGAATGTTTCAACAGTGGAATGTGCATTTATGGGTTTCCTTTTAGCAGAAGCATGTCCAATAATATAATAATGGCCACAGATTGGCACTGAAGACAAACGGCCAAGTTGCAAGATAAACCAATACATTTATTTTTAACACGTGGAATTTGCACATCACCGGCAAGCGGGAATTCCCTTTCCCAAACATCCAAACGCAGCCTTCGAGAGTTGCGAAAGCAGCGGGAAGCAAGCGAGCGGTGCCGCTGATTGGCTCGTTTAGACTGCTTGAGCATTATTGAGTTTCTGGCGACACTGCGGTCAGCAGGGAGCTCGGGCTCAATAGGGGAGGAGGAGCAGTCCCTTCTCAAGCAGGGCCCCACGCCTGTCCTCCGAGACGAACGCCACGTGATGTTGTCATACAAATACGATGTCTGACGTCGGCTTGGCTTCGCGCCTCCGCTCGTGTTCGCCGTTCTGTGGCAGGCAAAACTGCCTGGGTTCTTGCATTGCTCCTGATGATCTGGAACGACGTTTCAGAGTAGCGGCTGTAGCTTGAGTGGGTTTCATTTGGCCAAGCTTGAGCGCCTGAGAAACAAGTCGGCAGTGATATACATTTCCCTACCGCTGTGACGGTTGAAACAGTGGTGCAAGTTTATTAAATCCCCCTGCGTCTATCAATTTGTGCATGGTGGGGTAAAGTGTGGGTACTTTATACATTAGCCCACAACATGCCAACGTGAAAGAGTAGACCAAAATACCCTATAGAGGGGCTCTCTAGAGCTTTGTCTAGTGGAAGCCCTTCCACCAACAGTTGTGTAAGCAAGAACTACTTTCAGGGCTGCACCTTTACCATTTATAAATTATCTTAGCCACACCCAGTGTGGTCAATCTACTAAATCCAGATTAATGTGTTATTTTTTATCAAATGACTCCGTCTAATCGCCCAATCTCTGTATCCTAAAAATGCAGCTGTGTCACGAGGCAGATACTCCGAACACCAAGCTCGGATTATTGTCTCTTCGTGCCACCACTGACAGATGGCAAACGTGGTCCACAGCTGAATTCGGTCGTTTTCACCATCGAGGGCTGCTGTCTCAATCTGAACTGCTTTCTCATTCCAGAGGAAATTAACTTTACCTGGCCCCCTGCGATTGGAAGCGGCATTGGGACGGGAAGGGGTGGGGGGGTGTCGTCAGACTTAAGTAAAATAATTGACTCGGCATCATATTTGAAATGAGGATTTTCTTTATTTGTTTTACGATAGGTCTCATTCGGAGAGACTTTACCAAGCACTGAGAGCAAAGACCACTCTGGAGAAACCCTGCCCGCAATTGATCTTTTTAAAAACGTAGGCACGGTGGCCCCGCTTCACCGCTCACATTTATACTCGCCTAATTAGGCGCTCGTTAGTTACTCGGCACAGCTGGATTAATTGCGACTGGAGAGTCGCAAGAGCAGCTCGTGACCTGTCGTGAGCGAAACCCATTAAGCGCCACTCCCCCAAAGTCGCATTGATCTGTTTCAACACCTCTCGCTTCCCGTGTCTAAATTTAACGTCTGTTTCCATTTGGATTATTCCCTCTCTGAGGTCAACCTTCAACCTGAAATCGGCGTCCTCCTCCATCGGTTCTTGCAGGGAGGGCTCCGCATCCTGCGGTTGGCCTAGCCAACAGAGGTGTTCTTCGGCACCAAACATCATCTCCGCACAGAACAGCGGTGCGGACACTGCTGGTGTAGTGGGTGTCCAGACACCTCCAATGTATTTTTTTCTAGACGTACGATATGAGACCGGCCGGGTGGCTCAGCGGTAGAATGAGTCGGCGGCTAGTAGTGAGGTAGGTTTAAATATGCTGCATCTTACTTTCCGAAGGATCTTATAATCCGCAGAATATGGTGTGCTGAACTTCTTTCGCACCGTACGTAGCCAACCGTGCTAATCGTAGGTGCGGAGTAAGGACAACAAACTAAACACAAAAAGAAGTTCTGAGAAAATTACTTTTCAATCTAGAGTTAAAAGTGTGTCGCTCCAGTGGCTTCCTAATATCGTAAGGAAGAGCGTTCCAGACGTCCGCAGAAGCGCATCTGAATACGCCGCACGACGTGGCGACCGTCCTTGTTCGCCGGTCATCCCAAAGCCGCTGCTGCAAGGATGACCGGAATTTGCGTGGTGATGGTCTATGCTCCTTGACGAGATCAGCGCGGCAGTGTGGTTCATTTGTGGCGAACACTCTGTGCGTAATAGTGCAGCAGAACTCCCTAACCACCCGGGAACCATTCATTCATAGGGCCCCACTACACCTAAATGCCATCCCAAGCGTAGCTGTGTACCTCCCGAGGTAGCGCTCTTCATCGGAGTAAAAACCACAACGTGCCAATCCGTGCCGAGGCAGCTCAACTCCCCTTCGTTTTTTTTGTGCGCGAATACCCTTTTTTCTCAATTTCGGAACATATCGATGAGGGGTGGCCTCATAGAACACTCCTGTGTCACCAAATGTGATAAATCATCTCCCCCTGATCGATGATCAGTTCAATTGTTCAACTCATCGGATAACACAAAAATAGTTGGGTAGAGGGTGGAAGTCTATCTCTCCTCTGTTCTTTGCTTGTGCTGCTGGATGGGAGGTGATGGGCTGGAGCTTGGTGGCAATCATCGATATGATCAGTCCACTGCCACGCTGGGCATGGATTGTAGGGGGGTTTTGACCTTTCGGTTGGGGCGGCAGAAATGTTTAAAGGGGGTACTCGATTAATGGGACCACAACGACAAAACGACTGTGAGTCGATTACAAAATATGCCGTAGATTAATCGACTAATTAATGATCCCAGAACCAAATGAGAGTAGCTTCGTGTTCTCACGTCTACCCTGGGACGACACTCCCCCAGGGGCCAAACTCCACCACTGCGCGCATCTTGGTCTGCCTAAGCATGGAATACGGCGAGGTGCCTCGAGTGGACTCGTGCCGATCACGCGTCCTAATGAAGCTGGCACCACGCCAGATTAATGAATCACCTCCCTGAACAACAACAACAACAAACCCCACTCAAGAGCTCACCCCATTGCGGGCACCGCCCGTGCGTTCTGCCCCCATTCCGCTTTTAACTGCCAGCGGGAACATTTACGGGGCCGTAATTTTCTTCCAATTGACACGGCGGTCAGCTGCGGAGGCAGCCGCGCGGCCCAGCGATGCTTTAGAAGTGGCTGTTCCGGAGCACGCGCTCTGGAAATGGTGGCGGATGGTGGTGGTGGCGGCAATTAGGGCTGCAGAATTTGTAGGTGTTGTCTTTAAAACAAAGTGCCGTGCTTTCTTCACCCTGTACAATGATTGAAGCGAAGGTGTTCGCGATAACGGTAGCAATGATTAAAAAAACAAACGGATGACTGAAGTGAGAAAAAAAATGTGTCTTTTTATCTGAATGTAGATAGCGTTTATCTTTCTGATGATGGTTGATTGAGGTGAAGGATTTAGACTGGTGATGGTGATGACATCATATTTTAAAAATCGAGAGCAAAATGGTTTGATCTTTCAATGTGTACAGCCAGTATTAATTATCGTGTTCATGATGTTGTATTGCTGCACTGTATGCTGTTTACATTTCCAATTGTACTGAGTCTGTGCAATATGTAGACTCGCGGTGTCCTGTGATCATATTAGTGAAGTAGAACGTCTGTGATGACAGCAGTGACAAATAAAAAATAAAAAAAACAATTACGAGGCGCTATTGTGGTCTATTCAAGGCAATATTGAATGGAGTCAATGTATGTACGTGTACTGCACTTTTGTCAGTCCACTGCTGGATGAGGGTCTCCCCTCACCACGTGTGTCATCGTGGTGGGTCATGGGAGTGGTGGCGCAGTGGTTAGCACGCTGCGCTAGGAACCCGGCGACCCGGCTTCGTTTCCCGCTCACGGTCGACACCAGTGACGATTATCTGAAGCAGTCATGGGCATCCCCTAGGTCGACTCAACCTCAAATGAGTACCTGGTGTCTTATGTAAACATCGCCACTGGAAAGACAAAGGCGGTCGGGCGTGGTGTTGGCCACCCACCCGCTCGTGTGCCGTGCCGGCCTTCGTAGGTGCTCGCAAACAGCGCTTGCCGCAACAGTCTGTTAAGGCTATACGGGGGATCTTTATCTTTACCAACCTTTGTCAGTGGTGAGTTGGTGAAGGCGGGAAGCAATAACCATGATAGGATAGTAGAGTACAACAATTGATGTTGTTGCACTCCCCTCCGCTGTCCACAACGTAGACCCACAGCAGCCTGTAACACCTGTGTTATGCCTGGTGGACACACATACAAGCTCTATGCAGGGATTCAAACTGCTGAGATTGGGTGGACCCATTTGAGTAAAATTGGTCATAAGTAGAATTAGATGCATCGTCATCATCAGCCATAGTTAATACAGCACTGGATGCAGAAAATGTCATGAATATGTTGGGCCAAATCAAATGGGACATTGCAACATATTTTGAATTAACTTTTTGTAAAGTTTAATTTGGCTGTAAAGATGCACTCTCCCTTGCAATCCAACCCATTTTCACGATTCAGGGTCACAATTATATTCAGGCAATGATTACATTTTTTTTACATTGTGGTCCATTGTCGCGTCGCTCGGCCGCTAGGGGTCACAGGAGCCAGGGGATGACAGGAACACATCATTCTCGCGTGCACGATTCTGGGCACGACTCCCTCCTGTCACCCTGCACTACAGCGGCAGCAAACAGCGCGACTCAAGACCTCATCCTCCTCCTCTCTGCGCCAAGGACCAGGACTAACCATCGCCAGGCGTCGTTTCTCATCGGTAGCCCCACGCCATCTGGAGAGCGGCCATCGTCCCGCTGCACATTCGCAGCGGCGAACACTCTCCGCCGACTTTTAAGCGACACGTAAAGGCCCCACGTCTTTCGCCGGCCGCTTGAGTAACACTGAGCTTGCCTGCGTGCCTCAAGAATCACGGTCGTTCATGTACGTGAAATTTCGTGCGCGTTACAAATAGCATTATTATCATTATTGTGAGCATAGTTTACTCTGCATAATTGCATCATGACTACGCCTCACAACTAAAACAAAAGTCACGATCTCACTTAATAATGACACTGAATGGAGGGAAACTGGCTCTTGAGAAGAATGGAAGTTTCCTGTGACGGCACTATTTATAGGCCTGCTTTATCACCGATGTAACACTGATGTAAAGGCCTCTGAAAATTACTTTGATTTATGTCACCATGCAGATGTTTTTTTATTATAATAAATATAACACGTGACATTTATAATAATGAGACCTAACATAAACTAATGAAAAAAAGCAATTTAAAAATTACCACATTAATGGCATACGAGCATTTATTTATTTATTTAAACCAAGAAAAATCTTTACAATTTTCAAACCAGACTGCCACCACATCCAGACAATACATCCCAAAAAAATTTCGGCAGAAAATGGTAGTCAAGGTTTTTTATTTTTTTATTTACGTAGCTAATTCCGCCCTGCAATTCACAACGGAGCATTTGTAATTATGAGCCCCTTAAGCACTGAAGCTATGTCACCGCAAATATCTGATCTGAAACGAGACGCCCATGTGAGCATCCATCTAAAATATTAATCCCCCGTGCCCTCGGGGCATTATGGGCTCTGGTTGCTAGGACGTGAGGTTGATTGGTGTGTTGGGCCGTGCGTCGCTTGAATATACCGTCACCTTTGAAAAAAAGAAGGCTAATTGGGTGCACTCGTGACAGCCATCGCCATGGACACAATTCCCCTTTTTACATTACTAAACAATTTAATTATACAAGGAAATGAGGACAAAAAACTTAGGGAAAGGTTGATGCGGGTGAACGCCCCGGGCAAATTACCAGATGTGATCGCGGAAACCACCAAATGTAACAATATATACCTCATTGAAGCATTTTATGCTGAATAAATATTATCGTGAGTCCACCGGGGCCCTCCCTTGCTGTGGCGAAGAAGCACGCTCGCCTTGCAGACTGATGACTGGTATGGGTGCCCCATCGATGGTACCTGGCAAGAAGCGGAACAAACCTTGCTCCCTTCACCAACCCACCCTCACCAACATTGTGAAGAACGTCAAACGATTCCCAACACCATTACGAGCAGCATCCAAACAGTCGAGAAAATAACATGGGCTCGGGCAGGGTTGATGACGATAATGGGCGATTGCTGACAGAGTAGCAGCAAGAGAATGGATTGCGTCCGAGGATACTGGACATCTGTGAAAAAGAGCTTTATAGCTCATCGGATTCCTCGAGTATAAATAAATAAATCATGGGCGAAGCTTGATGTGGGGGGGGGGGCACGGGGGCCAATTCCCCCCAAACTGGACACCTTCATTAATTTATTTTCAGTAGTTTACAATTAATATTAAAACCAAATAAATGTATTTATTATATGCATCCCACGATTCCTAACGTGAGGGACAAAGGGAGCCCCTGCCATCCCATGCCCCCCCCCCACCACCACCACCACCACCCCCAAATATACAAGTCAAAGATCAGATCGTGCTGTAGGTGGTGACGGCTTTGGGGAGTCCTTCATCCAGCGGCGCGATTGACGATGACAAAGAACGACGATGATTATGAGCGCGCGTTGTAGCCGCGGCGCCGTGCTTCATAGCGTGGACTGGCGACAAAGATGAGCCCCCCCCCCCCCCGTCAAAAACAGCATCGCAACGAAGCTGCCTCTAAGGAGGCATCGTGCGTGTAGGCAGCCCGCCATGCACACTGGCTGGGGCGAGAGGCTCTCTCTAGCTCCTCTCACACCCACGGGGTTTGTTGCTATATTTTTTTTTATCTCGAAAGCACGTCGCTCTAGTCCTCCGCTAATTTCCGCGTGCCACCACTGTGACCCTCCGGTACAAAAAGAAAAAGGTGTTGCACTCTGAGTCACGCGGCCGCGTCTCCGTGTGGAAGAGGACCGCCCTCCTATCTATAATTGAACGTGTTCAAGTTGCTCTGCAGTTACTGAGCTTTGATTGCACCATTACTTTTTTTTATTACACGCATCGGCTGGTTAGTTTTTCTGAGATTTTTTTTTTGGGGGGGGTGGGGGGGGGGTTGTTTATTTTGTGTTGAATAGTTCTCTGCTAATTGAATCAGCATCCTGCACCGTGACCATTAATATTGATTTGTTTTGACGTGAAATCAAGTTCATTGAATTGCCTTTATTATTTTCTTTTAGCCCTATCATTGGTGACTCACGAAAATGCATTAAGTTCCGTTTATCCCATTACGGCTCTCGATTGATCACTGCCCAACTAAAAATATAAGGTGACAACAGGCGATGAGTGTGTGGTTGCTGTGAGCCACACTGATTCATGATAGAAGTCGGTGGTCCCGTTTTAAAACAGGCTTCGCTATTTGAGGTCTATTTTCATTCATTAATCAACGTTTACCCCGTGCCTGTCACCACAGGCATCAATGCAGTTTATGTCATTCTCATTTCGAAAGGTCAAATGGACCCACACAGGTCAGTTTAGGTTGGTAAAAAAAATGTTGGGGGGGGGGGGCTCGCACCAGGGCATGTTTAGTGGCAGTCAGGCCACCCAGGTTTATAAAGAATGTGAGGACAGATAGGGTCCTGCCTTGCCCTTTTTGTCGGCTGGTTATTACTATTTTGTGTTGTTCGCTTTCACAATACCGCCCAGTGGGATACGGGGAATGGATTTGCTCGAGCACCCGACAGGTTGCGGAAATATTTGCCACTACCAGCATCGCCGTCTGCGATCAGCATCGCTGATCATTTACAACGCTCAATTTGTAGCACAGGTCTCGGTGTTCGCGATCTCCAGAACACACATTTGCAGATGTTGTACGCTGTGCAATCGGTGATGTGGAAAACAATATTTTTGTAAAAAAGAAAGAACATCGAATATTAAACCATTGGGTAGTACAGCGGTCAGTGCATTGCATATGAATTTGGTGAGATCGATTCACAGCCATGGATTATTTCATCGCCGAGTGATATCTGAACTGGTTCTGACCCCCACTCTACCCCCCCCCCCCCCCCCCACCATTCAGCAACCAACACTGACGAGCATGGTGAATTATGGTCAAATAATCCCTGCGCTCTGCACGGCACAGGAAGGCCTTCATCTAGGAGTGGAAACTTCGTCGTAAGGATTATGTCAATGTAGAGCAACGACTATAATGTTAAATTTTGATTTAAAGCTTTCGTGACTGCAGTGATTCATATTCTTGGTTCTTTCGGTAAAGTCACGTTGAAGGGAAACAATAAAATAATAAAATAGATATAAAACAATAAAATGCTCACGACGTTTCGATTGCAACACAAGCAGTCATCATCAGGTGTGAAAACCAACGGCAAGAACATTTGAAAGAAGTGGCGGTTTGTATTTATTTATTTTAAACCGTTAGCACCACGGAGAGCGATTTGACAGTTTATTTAGATGGACTAGTCCATCTATGTTTGGGAAAAGAGGAGGGGGGAGACGAAAAATTGATGTATGCTGTCTGAAAGCCACCGTAAGCGTGAACAATCAATTAAGACCCGAAATGGTTTATCAAATCCTTCCAATGATTGCTAAGCCAGAATCCATCTTCTCGGTTGAAATTGTCTCTGTGCTTGTATATGTGGATAGCCTCATGAACGAATCTCTCATGGTAGCCAGATGGCTTGCAAAGAACCTCTGTCTTGGAGAAGTCAATGTCATGTGAGCCTGCTGAAT